GGCCTTCCCGGGAGCGCGGCTTCGGGGCGGGTCGGCGGCGGGACCCCGGCTGGGCTGGGGTGTGTGTGGGGAGAGGACTCCGAGCGCCGAGCTCGGCTGTGCGGGCATCTCAGACAGGAAAGAAGGAGAGGGGTCGTGCGGAGGCCGGGCTGCCCCGCCATCCACAGGCGCTCTCCCCGGAGACGTGGACTGCGGGGTGGGGCTAGGAGCCACCGGATAGACGGTCTGCTCCGACTGATGGCACCCGGCTGGTGGTGGACCCTCCTGGAGGTTGTCCTGAATCTGACTCCTAGCAGACTGGGCTTCGAGTGCCGAGCGGTTCCCTTCCCCTCCCTGCGTGCTGGGGTGGTGGGGGACCGGGTGGTGCGGGGACCGCGGGGTGCGGGACAAGGTGATGGGTGGGGGGACGGGGTGGTGGGCGCACGATCCGAGCCGCCCTCGAAGGGCCACACCGTTTCCGCCCTTCTCGTCTCCCAGGTGGGCACCAATGGCATCATCTCCACCCAGGACTTCCCCAGGGAGACCCAATACGTGGACGACGATTTCCCTACGGACTTTCCGGCCATCGCCCCCTTCCTGGCTGACATCGACACCAGCCACGGCCGGGGCCGCGTCCTGTACCGCCAGGACACCTCCCCGGCCGTGCTGAGCCTGGCAGCCCGCTACGTGCGCCGAGGCTTCCCGCGCTCGGCGGCCGCCTTCGCCCCGACCCACGCCTTCCTGGCCACCTGGGAGCACGTGGGCGCCTACGAGGAGGTCCGGCGGGGGGCTCCGCCCTCGGGCGAGGTGAGTGACCGGGCGGGGTGGACATGGAGGGCTGGGCTTGAATTCGGTGCGGGAACCCAGGCACTGGCTGAGTCCGGATCAGAGTCCGATCCTGTGCTGATCCCTGTGTTCCCTTTGATGGCGCCAGAATTGAAGTGGCTTGGAAGTGTAGAAGGTCGTTGTCTCTGGGTGTATGGTGAGGTTCCAGACAGGTGGGATATTACTCTGGGAAAGAAACTCTTTGGGAAATGACCCCAGTGGAGATGCTAAAGACTCTGGGAGTGAGCGTAAAGCAGATGACTCTTTTATTTATTTTAGAGTCTCTTCTAAGTATTTCTAATGATATGTTTATGGAAGGAGAAAAAAAATCAGAGAATCTGGGAACAATTTAAAAGCCCGATTACTTATTTTCCTACCCCCGTTAAACATTTTTGTATATACATCTTTCACATTGTTTTTAAAAAATGGATATCATTGCTGTTTATTAATGAGTTCACACTGCACATATGGTTATGTGATGTGCTTGATTCACTGAATAGTATATTCTGAATGCCTTGATGCCAGTATATTTCTTCAACACCATTTTTCTAATCTGACATGATACTACTGAGCTATTCTGCCAGATCCTTTTGGATTTTTAGTTTACTGATTATTTTATTTACTGATTATTTGCTTCCTTTCAAGATTTGCACTTAGGCCCCGATCCACCTGCTTTCAAGTTTCTGTTATTGGTGGAGACCACAGGCATGCGCCAAATGCAGCTTCCTTTTCATAGAGATGGGGGGTCTCATGGACTTTTCTGCCTGGGCTAGGATGACACCAAGCTCTTTCTAATCTCAGTTTCCCTCATGGTTTGGGATAGTAGGCACATGCCACTATACTCTGCCATGGATGGAGAAGGGGTCTTGTGAACTTTTCTTTCTGGACAAACCTGAAACCACAGTCTTCTCATTCTCAGCTTACTAAGTAGTTAGCCAGGAATACAGGTGTGAACCACCAGCGGCACCTGGCTCATTTTTGTTTATAATTTAAAGAATTATATTTTAAGGTGGGCGCCGGTGGCTCACACCTGTAATCCTAACTACTCAGGAGACTGAGATCTGAGGATCACGGTTCAAAGCCAGCTGGGGCAAGAAAGTCCCTGAGACTCTTACCTCCAGTAAACCGCTAGAAAACCGGAAGTGGTGCAGTGGCGCAAGCGGTAGAACACTTGCCTTGAGCTAAAGAGCGTAAGGACAGCGCCCAAGCCCAGAGTTGGAGCCCCACGACCACAGGGAAAAAAAAAAAAAGAATTAGATTTTCAAACCATTACAAATTATAAGCCAGTATTGGACTTAGAAGAACCTACTTTTACCCTCATATTTGAAGGGCCTCATGTTTGGCAGGGTATTATTTCTCATGATGATAAGAATAGTAATCATTTGATCTAAGGACCCTGGCCTTAATCTTTCTTCCTTAGGGGACTCACTCGGGGAACCTTTTAGCAGAAAAGGAACTTGGAGCCTGGGTTGAGTAGGACATTTGAGATGGAAGGGATAGCATGTGGCCCAGGTGCTATTGAGTGTCCTCCTGAGTGGAGCTTGTTGAAGAGGATGGGTAGCAAGATAGGAGGCTAGAAGAGCTCTGGGATGGAGGAAAGTCATGCTCTGAGCTGTGGATTTGGCCCTTTCTTAGTGGCAAATTTGAAAGAATTTTAAATAGATGATCGATACGGTTTTGCTTTGGAAGAGGTCTTCTTTATGGTTTTGAAAAAGCGATGGCCCAAAGGGCAGACTATTTAGGTAGTTATGAAATACACTATTTTTTGGGGGGGCTGTCAGGGGTATTTATTTATGTATTTCCATTTCTTGGAGTTCATTTTGATAAGCATCATTTTTTTTAATTGTGAAAATACCATACAGAGGGGTTACAATTACATGGGCAAGGTAATGAGTACATTTCTTATCAACCATTGTAGCCTCCTCCTTTGTTTCGCCTTCCCATCCCTTCCCCTCTCCCCTGTCCTCCACCCCCCAAAGTTGTAAAGTTCATTTTTTGACATAACGTCTTGTAAATCTCATTGTTGCAATGGGTCTACCTGTTATTCCTATTTAAATACTTTGTAAATACAGTATTTTTTCAATCTATCTTGTTACATTCTTGCTAAAATATTTTAGCATATCACCTTCCCATCAATCCTACCAGACAATGTATTTTTTTTAAAAGTCTACCTTTATTATTTTTTTTTATATTTTTTTGGGGGTCCGGTCATGGGGCCTGAACTCTGGGCCTGGGTGCTGTCCCTCAGCTCTTCAGCTCAAGGCTAGCACTCTACCGCTTGAGCCACAGCGCCACTTCTGGCTTTTTTTTCTTCTGCTTATGTGGTGCTGAGGAATCGAACCCAGGGCCTCATGCATGCAAGGCAAGCGCTCTACCACTGAGCCACCTTCCCAGCCCCAATGTATTTTTTTTTGATTCTTTTTTTTTTTATTTGTGAACATACTGTACAGAGGGGTTACAATTACATGGGCAGGATAATGCGTACATTTCTTACCAAGCATTGCAGCCTCCTCCTTTTGTTTACCCTTCACATCCCTTCCCAGCCTCCCCCCTCCCCCCCAATCCCAATCCTTCTCCTTCCCCCCCCTTACCCCCCCCCCAACCGACGTTGTAAAGCTCGTTTTGGACATGACAACTTGTACTTCTTTAAACAACTGGTTTTTCCCCATCTCCTCCTCAAGTTATACTTTAATCCCAGACTTATTATGCAAGATCCATTATCTTGGTATAAGAGGTAGATAGAACAACATCTGTGCCTTTTCTAAAGCTTTCCTGTAAATACAATTTAATTTTATTAGCTAGCTTGATGTGATTTTAGTACTAAGGGAATTCTTCAAGTTATATTTCATTCAAAGGAAGTATGTACTTGGAATAAAATTTGCTATGAACATTTTTTGATCTTGTATCACTTCTAAATTAGCATTCCAGTTCTCTGAAGAGACTTTAGCTGTATGCATTTTACTTTTTTGAAGAGAAAAGAAAGGCAAAGTTGAATGACAGGAATGGGAGAGAGAATGTTTGCACAGAAGCTCTGGGGTCATTTATGAGATCACGTGAGGGCTTTGGGATTGCAGTTTCATCAGGACTTATTTGAAGTGAAAGTTATGATACCCATGAGATGACTGCTGTTTTCCTCATTTTCATTAGCAGTCTGGGTCGTGGGGCTTGAACTCTGGGCCTGGGCGCTGTCCCTCAGCTCTTCAGCTCAAGGATAGCCCTCTACCACTTGAGCCACAGTGCCACTTCCAGTTTTCTGGTGATTTATTGGAGATAAGAGTCTCACAGACTTTTCCTGCCTGGGCTGGCTTTGAACCGTGATCCTCAGATCTCAGCCTCCTGAGTAGCTAGGATTATAGGCATGAGCCACCAGCATCCGGCTCTTTTTTTTTTCTTCCTTTTTTTCACATTGTTTGGGACTATACCCAGGACCTCATAATGCAAGTGCTCTGTCACTGAGCCCAGTAAAAAAAATGCTTCTCTTACCAAATTTCAAGGTTGGTTGTGAAGACAAGGACAAGATAAATCCTTTTTGCAAAATATAGCTTTGAAAGCTTATCTAGTGATTTCAGATCCATCCTCAGCCTTAGTTTGCTAGCCTGGAACATGGAGTAGTAGCAATGTCTACTATATACCATTGTTGCCGGAATTGACCCAGGGATAGTTTTTGATTTCCATAGATACTCAAGTTGGCTCAGCCAATCCGTATCTCACACGTTGGCTTGATAAGACCAGATTGTGGTTCTTTTCTTTCCAGGTCTGTTAGGATTATGTGATAGAAGTCCTTTGCATAAGCACTCTTTGAATGGGAGTGTATTCTTTTTTTTTTTTTTTTTCCCGGTTGTGGGGCCTGAACTCTGGGCCTGGGTGCTGTCCCTCAGCTCTTCAGGTCAAGGCTAGCGCTCTACCACTTGAGCCACAGTGCCACTTCCGGCTTTTTTCTTTTTGGTTATGTGGTGCTGAGGAATCGAACCCAGGGCCTCAGGCATGCAAGGCAAGCGCCCTACCATTGAGCCAACTTCCCAGCCCTGAATGGGAATGTATTCTGAGTTACAACTTTTTTCTGTTTTTTTTTTTTTTTTTGGTGGTGGTGAAGGGGATGGGAGTTAAGATAGTAAATGATTTGTAGGTTCTATCTCTCTTTAACTTTTCTAATTAAAACCATCATTCTGACATTTCCATATGCTGAACTCACTTCAGAATTTGTTTTATTTAGAAGGGAGATAAAGCTTCAGTTTGGATAGTGGATTTTTTTTTTTAAGTTACCCACATTGAAAGTTCTTCTGATTATTTGAGAGAGTGCTGGGACTTAAGTCCTTGCTTTAATAGTTTGCTGGAGGTGGATTTTTTGGCAATGACAAATTTCTTATGCTTGGAGGATCGTGTGAGTTCTACATGATTTTTTTCAATTTTGGCAAACTAACTTTATATTACAAAATTACTGGAAACTTGAAGGTATCAGAGGATTGGCACTTAAAACAGTTTCTGTTTGTGTCTTTTTTCTCCAAGGATATTCACCCTGGCTATGACGGGATGTTGTACCTGCTATTGCAGGAATGTCATGGTGTAACCACATAAAAAAAATTCTGTTTATCAGTTCAATTAATCTGAGATTTCTTAAACAGTGTTAGGCAGTTCACAGAGCAAAGATGTCACGGTGCTGATCGCCAAAGAAGTTATTGCTGTAAGGCAGGAGGACGAGTGTGGACTTTGGCTCTATTTTGTTGTTTTTCCTCTGTGTTTTTGTTTGTTTTCAGGGGAGAAGGAAGGTATTATCACTTAGGTGGGGATACAGAGAACTGGGTTACACTGGTCTGTGTGATGCGTGGAATGTTTTTTTTTGTTGACCTGGAATTTCAGTTGGGTTACAAAGACCTAAAGAATAGATCCTGAGAATGAGGTGGCAGAAGACATGGTTCTGCGTTAGAACATTCTCTGGGACAAGTCTGAGTGCACTGGTGAGGTAGATGGTCGTAGGGCAGTGA